CCCCCCCCTTTATCAACAACCACTCTTCCTCTTTTTGTCTCTCCCCTCCCTCTTCCTCCTCTTTCTGCGCGTCCCATCTGCCTAACTCCAGTTTCATGTAAGTTGGTTCCATTCATTCAGTCTTTTTCTCAGGGCTTGGTATCCTGTTCAGTTTCTTTACAGTTACTCTTCTTCATGTGTTGAATGATGTCAAGACACCTCAGCTCTATAGTGTTAACTAATTCTGGGGGTTTTGGGGGGAGCTTTAATGTGAATTGTTACCCAGCCCTGCTTGCTCCTAATGGTGTATTTGTTCTAAATGTATGGGGTATTAGTGTCATCACAATACTTTTCAATCATTCTGTATCATCCACTTCATTCATGCAGTAAAAAACAGTCTCATTTTGTTTCTTGGGTTTGTTGTTCCAACGACCTAATTTTCAGCTAAGCCCCACATGTAGGTTTTTATTTTGGTGATGGGCTCAACAGTTTTGATCACTGTGGTTATTTAGTCAGTGTCTCCCTATCCATTGTGTAATTCATGAATTTAATTTGGCTGCTCATGCATTACTTGTCTCAATTTGACCTGTCTGGATTGGAAGTATAATAACCATGTGGTTTTATTTGCATTTTGATTTTCCATGAAAAAGTGTTACTATAATGCGACTGGTGGTGTTTACTACAGGATGTTGCTTTTGTCATTCACCTAAGTCAACACTTAAAAGAACATTTACTTCTGTGTTTCTTTTGATCGTCTGTTTTCCCCTGAAAAACCCTTCTATGTTAAAGTGAAGCCGGTTCTTACTTCAGATTAAATTAACAAAAACAAAAACAAAAAAGTCTATTATTGGAGGAGTTCAGTGTAACTGTGCTTGTTAAAGTTCTGCAGTTGGACCCATAAGCATCAGAAACCATATTGACTTGACCAGATTTTTTTAAACAAGTTTTTTTTTCTAAATAAGCAGACCTGCCGAACTTTGATTGCATTGTCAGGTTTAAAAAAACATTTTCACCTTCCAGTTAACTGTGAACAAATTCACTTTGTTCTGTGTATATTTGCCCCAAATAAAATCTGCGCTCTAACACTGAAAGGCTCGCAATATAATAGAAATAAAAATTATTACAGCAATAGGACAGATAGTTTCTTATTTTCTACTATTCTTCCCCAAGACATGGCTTAGCCTCAATCTAATCTGACTGCAGGCAGTGCAGTGGTTAAAGACCAATTTATCAATAAAAGTTATTTGATGATTCAGAAGTGTCAGCATTTTTAATGACCAATAAATTAATATTTAAGTAGTAAAGACAGAGGAGAAATACTTAATACTTTTCAGGCATGCTTTCAGCATTGATGTTGCATAGTTTGGCCACCAGGGGGCACTCTGCAACCTGCCTCTTGACAAAACACGTGAACAAATGATCCAAGTAGAATGTTAACAACTTAAATGATTCTTTACTAATAACAGATGTTTAGGAAACTTTTTCTGTTTTGTTTGCCTGGAAGAAATAAAATATCAGCAAATATCAGTGTCAATATTAGCCTTAAAAATATCGGTCAAATTCTAATTGTGGCTAATAATCCTTGAGCTGCCTTTCTCTAAGCAGAAGTTGGGAGCAAACCGAAGAGGCCAGGCCCATTCTTCAAAGATTTTTTCTTCTTCTTTAAATTTGCAAGCCTCAGTTGAATAGCATAACTTAAAGCAGTAAATCAGACTGTGCACCCGTTTTATGCACACTCGTTCCACCAATACAGTGGTACAACATATGTACAACATATATCCAACATATGTAAGCACACCTAATGTGTGAAAACTGGTCTTACCTAAACTGGCCACCTCTCAAGAGGGTGCATCTGGAAAGCTCAGGCCACAAGCTTGGGTTAAACAGAGCAAAAACTGATTGGCAAAGCATTTTATTCTTGACTAATTAACATATAAAAGGGAAATTCATCTGGCTTTATTGATATTGATAGTATTTTGACCCTTTGGGTATTTTTTTTTAATAATTACTTCTTCTTTTTTTATCTTTTAGTAAGATCATCCTTTATTTTAATATGCTTTTAAATATGTATAATTATCTGGTTATATTCTGGTATTCCTCAAGGATCACATGTTTTGTGTACACATGAATGAGTTTTTGTATTTGTGGAACTGACCTTGATAATAACTCTCCATGCCTCTACTCTCTCTAGTGGACAACCAGCACATGCTGCACTACATTCGAGATAAGACCGCAGTCCCATATTTCAGTAACTTGGTCTGGTTTATCGGCAGCCATGTCATCGAACTGGACAAGTGTGTACAGACAGATGAAGAGTAAGTGTTTTTCTCACTGTAGCCTCTAGATGTCAGCAGTGTCCTTGTTTGAAGCCTTGATCTGGCTCATGCTTATTATTCTATGTTATATATATTTATTTATTTTCTGTCTGTCTGTCATTGCTGTGTCTTAGACATAAAAACAGGGGGAAGCTAAGTGACCTGGTAGCAGAGCACCTTGACCACCTCCACTACCTAAATGATATCCTCATCATCAACTGTGAATTCCTTAATGACGTTTTAACCGACCACCTCCTCAACCGTCTCTTTCTGCCACTCTATGTTTACTCTTTGGTCAGTCCTGAGACGGTACGTTACTCTGTAGTGCATTTCTGAATACATCTGGTTAGACTGATGTTCACAGGTTCAAAGTTGAAGTGTGTGTTGTGTTAAAGATGTTTCCTCCTTTCATTTCACACATGCAGTGTAGTATGGTTCTGTTCCTAAGCTAATTATTAAGTTGAAAAATTAAAACGTTGAAAAATGTTCAGTTTGCAGTAGTAGTTTTTTTTTTCTTAGCTTGATTAATGACTAACCAGTGGTTTTGCTTGATCACCTCAGAAAAGCTATGAGTTAGAAGTTACGGTTAGGTATTTGCCAGTTTGTGCAGGTGGTGCTGTGTGGGTGACATAGAGGTTACCACTAGGTTTTGAGTTCAAACCATTCAGGGGCTTTTCCATGTGGAGTTTGCATGGTCTTCTGTGCCTGCATATGATTTGGTAAAATCTTAAATTACATAGAAAGTATGCCATATGTGTGGTGTAAAGTGCTTCGATTGGTCAGTAAGCCTTTTAATACTCTCTCTCCCTCTATCCCAATAACACTATATATATATCATTATAATGCGTTTTCTATAAATTCAGTGAATAGTTATGTAATCGCCATATGAAAAGTACTATTTCTTTTTTTACATTTAAAGTAAATAATCAAAAATGAAATAAATATGGGCCTTATGTGGCATTATCCTGTAGTGCAGGGGTGGGGAACTCCAGGCCTCAAGGGCCGGTGTCCTGCAGGTTTTAGATGTGTCCTTGATCCAACACAGTTAATTTAAATAGATAGATTACCTCCTCAACTTGTCTTGAAGTTTTGCAAAGGCCTGGTAACCAACTAATCATCTGATTCAAGTGTGTTGACCCAAGGTGATACCTAAAACCCGCAGGACATCGGCCCTTGAGCCCTGGAGTTCCCCACCCCTTCCAAATTTACACACTAGATGACCACACACAACTTCACTCTTCACTCTGGCTGATCATTACTGCTCCTGTATGGTTGTCGGGAAACTTGACTCAAATGCAGAGTGTCCAAGCACACTGTTAAGTTCATTCAGAGACGTGTTGTTCTGCTCTTCCACATATCTTTTGCATAGTATGTTGCATTGCAGACACTCCCAATATAAATGAGGCAACTCGGCTTGTGTGAAGTGTTTTCAGCTGGCATCGTATACCTGGGGTCGAGTGTTTTGACCAATGCATGAAACCATATATTTATGAATGCAAGTTGTAATGACCGGTTATCTTGATCTTTATTATATGGCGTGCCACAGAGAAAGCCTGTTCTAACGTTTAAGTGTAAAGTTTAGTTCGAGCACCTGACAGCTTATTTTTGCTTCTCATTCATAAACTCTGCATACTATTTTACATCGTGGTGACTATTGCAAATCGTCATATAAAGCAATGAAAAAATATTGCAGTATGCAACAGCAGCATGTTTTGCAACAGCACAATGTTTCATCATCCAGTGTGTTGTGTCATATCACACAGCCCTAACATATCTATAAAAAAACAAAGGTGAGCTCAAAAGATTATATTCCAGGTGAAAGCGTAATTATGAGTTATAAATGCAGATAGTTGAACGTTAGACAGTTAAAACACTGTTTAAATCAAATATTTTTTCTTTTGACATGATAAATGTTTACTTGTTTGCAATATGGGTCATGACTGTTATACTCGTACTACTAAATGATTATCACACACATTATGTTCTTGTTGTTATTATATATCAGCTTAAATCATCTTGTTTCTTTCTCTCTCTTTAGTCTGAAGAGCGGAAGATCAACCCCCAGGTGTCCCTTTATCTGTTGTCTCAAGTAAGTTACACACACATACACACACACACCTGCCTGCAGACACTCTTGTGAGCGTAATCTTGCTGTGGCTGCTTAATTCGGTGGTGTATTGTCATACAGTCAAGCTGCTCTTTGTAAAGCCTTTTCTACTAGCTTTATTATGTGAATAATGGAAATAAAACTTTACTTTATTACTTACATCTTATTATTACTTGCTTTAACCAACTTTTACCTCCTGGACTGTCTTAGTTCTGCATGGAATACATTCAACAAAAGTCCTGGAAATATTCCTGAGATTTCGATCCATGTTGACATGACAGCATTACAGGTGCTACACATCTATGATATGAATCTAACGTTCCACCACATTCCAAAGTTGCTGCTGGATTGAGATCTTGTGACTGTGGAGGCCTTTTGAGTGCATTGAACTCATAGTTATGGTCAACAAACCTGCTTAAGATTATATGAGCTTTTTGACATGGTGCGTTGTCCTTCTGGACACAGCCATCAGAAGATGGGTGCACTTTAGTCATAAAGTCTCAGCAACAATACTCTGGGAGTGTGCACGAAAATTTCTCCCACACCAGAACTACCAGGAGCCTGAATTGCTGATACAAGGCAGGATGGATTCATGGAGAAACTCATCAGACCAGATGATATTTTTCCAATATTATGTTGTCCAATTTTGTTGAACCTATGCTCCTGTAGGCTCAGTTTTCAACAAGTGGTTATTTGAGTTACTGTTACCGAAGTTATCGAAGCAGTCTGGCCACGCTCCTATGACCTCTGACATCAACAAAGCAGTTTCTCCCAGAGAACTGCTGCTCACTGGATATTTTTGTTTTTAGAGATTATTCTCTGTAAACTCTAAAGATGTTTGTGTGGGAAAATCCCAGCAGATCAGCAGTTTTGGAAATGGTCAGACCAGCCAGTCTGGCACCAACAGCCATGCCACGTTCACAGTAGCTTAACTCACCCCTTTCCCCTATTTTGATGCTTTGTTTTTATTCCTTGCTCATGTTTACATGAATTCCTGCCAGGTATTTGCATTAACACACACTTAATAAAGTGGCCAGTGACTGTAAATCGTGTTAACGAAAGGGAGCCAGTTATATTTGTGTAATTTGCAATGCTTACATGTTGGTGCAGATGATCATGTCTAAATGAATTTTTAACACTATAATTTATTTTATATTCAGCTCTAGTGGCCCAGATACTGATTTTACTTATTTTGTGTTTATGTTCTTATTTTTCAGGTGTTTCTAATCATCCACTATCAGCCACTGGTCAATGCCCTTGCAGATGTTATTTTCAACGGAGATCTGTCTGTATTCACCACACCGACAGATATTCACAGCACGCACAAGAGCACGGTAACACACACACACACACACACCCACACACACTTTGACTGTATATGTTAATGTACTGTAAACTGTACTTTACTGTAACAGGTAAAACTGTGAGTGAGTACACCATACAAACAAGAAATTTGCACACTCACACCTACGAAGCAACCGCATGGACACATACACAACACACACACACAGTTGTGTTCCAGAAGTGTGCGTAGGTGGTTATGAGATCGAAGGGTCATGGTTTTCTCCATGATTCACCCACATCAAGGCAACAATATGCAAATTACTTGACTTTTCTTTTTCTTCCCTTTCCATTTTTTGAACACTCGTGATTCCTGTTGTACTCTCTGTCTTCCTGCCACGGCGTTGGATAGCAGCATTCGGTTTCCTTTTACTGCTCCGTGCCCTTTAATTTCCATCTGCATATTCTTGTAATTTCCCTCTTCTTTTCTGCCACCGTTTTAATCTTCCCCTTTCATCACCTAATGTTCCCCATCCAGTTCCCCTCACCTCTCATTTTCTGCTCTTGATTCAGTTTCTCTTCCTTCATCTCCCCGCCCCTGCTTCTTACATTTTTTTTTGACCATCTGCTTTTACAGCCAGGTGGGTGTGCCGAGGTAGTGAGCGTTTCTGAGAACCCTTGTGGTTATTCTCTGTGCTGAGTGTGTGTGTCTGTGCGTGCACGCGCAAGAGCTCTCTGGCTCTTGTAAGAAACGGCCTACCTTTTCAGTGAATATAACTAGAGGCGTGATGTCTTCACAGCTTTGGTGTACCACAACAGGAGGCAGCCAGACCCAAATACGTACCTGCCAGATATTCATTCAAGATCACTTTCCCTGTTTATGTATTTTTCTTTTAAGTAAAATCAAGTAGATTAACAAATCATATTTGTTGTGTTTATCCATGAGTTACTGTTTTCTTTTTTTACCGGGGGGTAATTTATTTATTTTTTTCGTTCCACTAGGCAACACAAATTTGCGTTTGCACATTAATTATTCTTTTTCTGACTGATTGACATTGATAAGATGGATACCGGTGCAGGTTGTGTGATTTACTGGCATTTACCCTGCAGCAGTGTATTTGGCATTTTGTTCTGGTGCATGTAAAAACGCTAATGAGCATATTAGTGCAGCGAACAAGTGTTATGCATGCCACGCATTTGTGTGACATCACCATGGTTAATTGAGGAAGTGCTACTAACTATTCCTAAAGATGCCAAGTAGATACTCAGAAGTTGCACGCGTATCTGCTAAATCACATGTACCGTGTTATAGATTGATTTATTGTAGATAAAACAGCAGACATATGAGGTATGGGCTCTGTTTTTGCACAGGTGGTCAAATGGCACCTCCTGTTCGTCTTTGATGTGGCAGGAAATTAGGTCACATGATGGAACACTGACAGAGCTGGCTCACCTAACCCAGATCTCTTTCCTGGAAGAAGTGTTTTCTCTCTCTTTCTCTCACACTTTTGTAGATGTGTTTACTTGCAAGTGCACCAGTTAGATACATGTTTTTGATATTTGCATGCATGTGGCAGTATTTTTTTTTTTTGCGTAACGTAAGTTCGTGCAGTTCGTTTACTGTGCAGGAAAATTGGGTTTATCTTTTGACCTGCAAATGGCACCCTACTTTCAAGCGGCTGTGTGTGTTTGTAGATATGTCGTGCATGCTCCCTGACCTCCATTAATTTCTCAGCATTGGTTTAGACTGCGAGCGGTTTACCAGAATATAGTCAGCTAGCAGGTGTGACACACACACACGCACACACACGCACACACACACACACACACACACACACACACACACACACACACACACACACACACACTGATACTGGTTTGTGGTTTGTCTCTGACAAAATACACACTGTGTTTTTAGCAGTAACTACAATGTAATCCTACCAGTAACACACAGTGTATGTGAGTATTTTTAAAGCATGGAAAAAAACCCTAACAGCTAAGGTTTTCTGAATTTTAAATTAAAAAGCATAAAATAAAATAATAGTGGCAACATGTTTAAGACTTTAATTGTTACAAGAATACCTTTGTGTCATAAGAAATTAATAAAAAAGAAAGGAAAAAATGGAGGAGAAAGGGCCAAAGCGAGGGTTTTAAATGATGTACGGTATATAAATATGCAGCTTTTTGCAGATTCATCCACAATACTTTCACCAGAGGTTGATGCAGAGAAACTGATACTGGGTTTATCCTAGGCACACATTTGAATAGGGAGGATGGTTTCAGACACCTGCTCGTATGTAAGTGCGTGTATGTTTTGACGTGGTCACGTGCTCATGTTTGTGTTTGGTGGTTTGTGTTAGCACAAGAACTTCAGTGAAATCAGGCCACCCAGTTTCAGTGTGAGATGCATATTTTCTTCCTCTCGGTGTAAGAGCAGGTGAATCTTTTCACAAAATGAAACCAGAGAGAAAGGATTATCTTGGAATTCAGTCCTGTTTCACATCATCCCTGAAGCCATTAAAGTGTGTGTTTTGTTTAGTTTTATAGCCACTACCATCATTATTGTAATTCCTTAATAATCTGATAATTACTCACTAAATTAATTGCTAAATCAGAGGATGAATGAAATATATCAGTTCCTTTTACGATGTTCCGTAGTTCCTGTTTTTGCAATGAGTTGTTGAAATAGTGGTTGCTCATTTGCAAGTGCACAGTTAGTATACGTACAAGTAGTCCCCATGAGCCCCTCTTACTTGATACTGAAATCTTTTTTTATTTGCAAGGGGAGCCAATCAGAGGACCGATGGCTTAAAGGAAAAAGTAAGGAAGCCAAATGGCTTGTTTCAAACAGTGAGGGATTGCACCAAGGTTTGATAAAAGATTAGGAAGGATGCTGTTTCAACTTAATCCTGCTAAGCTTCTCTGGTAGAACATAAAGCTGAAAATACATGGATCAACGTGGATCTCAGAAGATACCTCGTCATCATTTTCTTATCATTTCTAAAAGAGAAAAAGTGCTGATAACAGTAGTTGCTCATTAAATATCAATCAGTCAGTTAATAGATTAATTTGCTAATTATTGGCTTCGTACGCTAATCAACCACAAATTTAAGCTGTTTATAAAACCCTAAAACAGCTCTGACCTATAAGGACATGGTGTGCAGAAATGTTAACACGGGTAACACATGTCGACGTTACATCAACATGAATATGAGACATTGTTTTCCACTCTTAACGTAGCTGTTTGGTCCGCTGTTTGTTTAACTGTAATCTTACCTGAAGTCATAACTCCGTCAGACTAGACTATTAGTGCTGTATGTAGAAAATGAACTAGAGGATCATCAAGTTTTGAAATGACTGCTTTATGATTACTTGCAGTCTCTGAAACGTCCGGGAGTTTCATATTCATGTGCAGCAGTAAGGAGTTTGTGATTAAACTGTGCAACAGGAAGATTGTCACAATTACACATGTTATACTTACTGTAAGTGACAGCCCTGACAGCACTGCTCAGCATTTTTTTTTTTATCATTTACCAGTTGTTTCCTGTGGGATTGTGTGCATGTGCGTTTTGGTGTCGGTTTGGGGGCTGTATGTGGAAAGTGGGTTTCTCAAAGTTCGAGTATGGCCACACAGAAGGGCCTCAAAGTGTGTGTTTTTGTGTGTGTGATAGAGAGGAACTAGTCCAAAAATGTATGAAGTGGGAAGTGGCTTTTTGATTAACATCAGTGTACGTTTACTGTAAGACTTTGTAATTAGTGTGACAATAAATAGACACACGTAAGAGTATATATAGATAGAATTAAATACGCAATTTCTGCAAATACTTGTGTTCATGTGTTAATTTTTTTTGGGGGGCTTATCTCATTTCCTGTTACCACCTGACAGATTTCCTTTGTTGTTTCTCTTGTTTGGACCACTGCCTATCTTTTGCCCTGCCAAAAAGACTTAAATACATGATATCTAGTTTACATAACTGATTTTAATTGCT